TTACTATAAGATTGTGATTATTTTATATATAAACATCATTAAATTTGCATTAGGCATACAAATTTTAGATCTAATGTAAGAATTTTGATTAGAAAGAGCAAAAATTTTATCTTTTGTGCAAAATATATGATGTTTATATTCAAAATATTCCTGGTCTTGCAAGGAGTCCAGCAATGTCAATTATATTATCCTAACTTTAGTCTGACGTATTATTTATTACTAAAAATGTAAGCCTACTGTTTTTACCCAAACATTTCTCAGAGAGGTAGGGGCCAGTGAGCTGGGAAGAGTGGGGGGTTGAGTCTATTATTTGAATGGACATTAACCGGCGACTGTATTTCTCTTAAATATTAATTGTGTGTGCATATCATCGTAAAATGAAGATGTTATTTTTACTACAACATAGGTATTGTGTCAGTATTGTGTCGGAAAATGTGGACTTTGGGGGTCGGCCCAGTTTCTATTTCAATTAATCCCATATGTTCTGTTATTTCATTTACGCGTTTCTCGTTTTACGCGGTACTCCGCGGGTTCAATTGACCGTGTAAATGAAGACCCAACTGTAATAATAATAATAATAATAATAATAATAATAAAGAACCATAAAGAAATACAAAATTTTTAAAAAGATCAATAGTGAGAAACAATACTGTATGTATGTTGTGTTGTCAATAGTAAGAGAAACAACTGAGACCCAACAATTGCATGTAAATGAAGCAGAAAGTCAGATCAGCAACCTGGGACTAGGTCACAATCTTTGTGTTGCCATATGGCAGCAGGGTCCACCATTAGACAGCACATTATGCTTCCAATGTCTTCCCAGGCAGTAGTACCTCCCTGTTTGATAGCTGCCTACTACCTAATAATTTATCATGACAGCTGAGCCGGATCACAGACAACTGTTACCTAGTGGTATTTATTTATCTGTCATATAGGGGGAGTTTATGTTTTGCTCATATAAAATGCCAATGAATTAACTTAAGAGAATATAATAAACATTGCTGGAATTCTTGTAAGAAAGTGATTAATTTGAATATAAACATGCTATAGTTTGCACTAGACATAAAAATGTTAGTAATTATTTAGTACATTTGAGTACAAAGGACTTAAAATTTTGTCTCTTGTGCAAAATATATGATGCCTATACAGTGACCCCTCGGTTAACGAACTCAATCTGTTCCAGAAGGTCGTTCGTTAACCGAAAAGTTCGTTAACCGAAAAGTTCGTTAACCGAAACCATTGTTTCAGTGGGTTTTTGGGTAATTGGTTCCAGCTCACCGAAAATTTCCTAAATTCAACAAAAATGGTAGAAAAGTTCACTTACTTTGAGGCGTGTATGTAGAAGGCGCCTGGATGATGATGATGATGATGATGATGGGATTTAGAATGGGGGTGGAGGAGAAGGAAGAAGAGAAGGCATTGGGGTGGAAGAGAAGTCACCCCATGGCGCCATTTCACCCATAAAATTTTAGCTCTCTTGGTGTAATTCAAGATTATTTTCTTTAAATCAACACTGCACTGCATTATATATTGTCAATATGTAAAATATATTTCAAAATGACCAATATTTGCTTGGAAACACAGAAAAAAAGCATTTAGTTGAAGAGAGTCTCAAGCAAGATGTTACCTCCAGTGAAAACAGAGAGAGACTAACGCCTGTTTGCTGTGTTAAGAGGCTGGATGCCGCGCATTAAACTAGTCACTTTACCTTCAATTATGTTCAATAATTGTTAAAATGACTAAAAAATTGAATATTTAACTTTTAAAATTATTGAATAGTATAAACTTCTTGATATTTACTAAAATGGTAAGGAATTTAAGCCCTAGAACCGATTAATGTATTGGCGGACTGATACTAAAGCTGGTTGCCCGGTCAGTGCAAGTGAAAACATGTTGAGGTCGGTTCGTAAGAAATTCGTTAACCGAATTTTTGTTCGTTAACCGAATTGAAGATTCTTATGGAAGGCAGTTCGTTAACCGAAATTTCGTTAACCGAGGCGTTCGTTAAACGAGGGGTCACTGTATTCAAATTATTTGCTGTTTTGCAAGGATTCCAGCAATGCAATTTATATTCTGCTAACTGTAGTGTGTGCCATTTTATGTTAAGTTTAGTCACTTTTATTGGCCTTCAGAACCTAACCCTATTTTTCCCATTGATTACATGTAATTATCGCGATTTAGAATACAGTATAGCGAACATCCTCCTTGGACCCTATCTCACGATATATCCCGACCCTACTGTGCCCGGAAAATTCCTGGGATGGGGTATTTTTCCAGGGTCGAGAGATGAAAATCAGGTGCATTTTCCGGAAATTTCTGGGGATGTGGGATTTCTTTGCAGGTTTGATAGAGTTGTTTAGTCACCTGGAAATCTCTCATTCCCAGAAATGCTGTGCACCAATTGTTCTGGCTAACAGAGATATCACTATTTTACTTTATTTTGTTTGTTTACAATACCTGTATATTGTATGTGTACAGTGGTGTTTGTGTTAATAATTACAGCTCTGTGTCTGTCCGTGTGAGAAGCGTATGATAATTTAGACTATTGGAAAACTTTCTCCAGTATACTAGTACAGTACCCATAAAAATTCTGGGAATGAGAAAATTTGTCTCCATACATACCTGGAAATCTCTCATTCCTGGAACTTCTCTGCACCAATTATTCTGGGTAATGGGGATACAGTATCACTGTACAGTAGTAGGTTAAGTTAATTTCCAAGGGATGTCAATCTGCTTGTTAGGTTTGTATGGGTGAACTGAATTTTTTCCAGATAAGAGAATTCTTTTATAATAATAAAAATAAAATAAAATTAATGGTTTTTTGAAAATGTTCATGAGCTAAAAGGCTGAAAATATGCATTGGATACAAATGACTTATTACATGCAAAGACATGGTGTGGATGAAGGAGAAGGAACATGCATTGAACATTCAAATTATAGTTTACAGTTGATGGCAGAGGTTGGTCTCTTGCCCAACTGTGAGAGGTCAAGTAGGTCATTTGGTGTTGATGTGAAGGACTTCACGTGGTGCTGTAGTAACTCATTCTAATATGTTCTCATGGGGGACTTCACATGATGTCGTAACAGCTCGATCATGTTATGGAGACACTGTGGTGTGGTGTCACAGTACCTTACTCTATACCAAGAGGTGTTGTGATATCTCATATTCAGGTGTAAAGCTGACCCATGGTTGTTTGCAGAGTGGACTGATTAACACTATACCACCTGTTAAGAAGATGGTGGTCGGTTCCCAGGGGTGCTTATCTATGGTTGTTAAGACATCACTGGTGGGTGTGATGGTTAATCTGGCCATGTTTCACATCTGTTACTGTCTAGTGTTGATTTCACTGGCTTAAGCACTGTTCATCATTGTTCAACACTGATTCCATTCCTTTCTGAAATAAAATCGTTACTTTTGGTGGGAGTTTGCTGATATCCCTGTAAGGAGGAGGGGTTGAGGGCAGGGAGTTGGGGTATGGGCCAACAATTGGTCCTAGCAACTGCTGGAGCAGCACCGAATAGGTCTTGACCCTCCATTAGTCAGGACACAAGTTGTCAGGCCATGCATTGGTTTGCGAGTACAGTATTTGAGGAAAGATGTGGACAGTGTAAAGATCTCAAGATTATATTTGTCTAAGAAAGACTAAGGTGAAGGAGTGAGCCTGGGAAGGAGTAATTTTCTCCTTTGCTTCTAGTGAAGAAAAGAAGTATCACCTGGATTATCAGGCTTTATAGGACATAAGTTCTCTTGGTTGGAAACAAATATTTTCTTTATATTTATATTTGCCTTGGATTCTTGTAGTAAGTAATTTTCAGTGGGTTGAGGCATAGACTACTGTATTTAGTAATTTTTTCTACTGATGAGCCTTTGGGGTTTGCTGGCAGATGATATGGATGCTTTAGGGAACATTTCTTAAAAGATCATTGCCACTGATTTTAGACTTCAGTTCAGAAGAAATCTCTTACGGTAATTGTGTTCTTACCTTTTGGTTTAGGATCTTAGATCTTTTAATTTTTTTGCAAGGAAATCCCTCTTGCAATTTCCTTCTATAGTATTTGCTTCTCCATCAGTTTTTGGATTTGATAACTCCTCTTTAACTTAACAGCTAATCTTTTGAAATTGGTATTTAATTCTATGTGAGACCTTTTGATTCAATTGAAGTATCTTGTTTACTTGCTAATCTTGAATTTCTTTAACTCCTTCACTATGAAATTGCCACATTTGATTTAGCTAATGTCAGATGATTTTATTCAGCACAGAAGGGATCCCATACCTAAGTGGCTAAAGCCACAGTAGCTGCAAGAAGTAAATTTATTATTGGTGTGCATTTTCCAAAGGGATTGTCTGTTAAAAGTGTTAGATTATGCTTATTTCTTCTGTTTCACTGTTTGGCTCAAAACAATTGGATAATTTTGTGAGTTTTCCTTAACCCTTAGGCCCCAGGTGACGTTCCAGAATGTCTGTCTATTTTCCTGCCTTTTTTTGTTTTATTTTTTATATTTATATATATATATATATTATTATTTTTTTTTTTGAAAAGTTGACTTTTTATTTTCGATTTAACTGGGACTGCCAGCAGCACCCTAACCCGGGGCTTAAAGGTTAAGGACATTGTCTTTTCAGATAAGAGCTTAGGTAAAACCTCTGTAGGGGAGCCATTCAATGGCTGAGAAATCAGTAGAGTGCTATCTTCCTCAGTCTCAGCCCTATTGGGGTGCTTTGAGAGGGAAAGAGGTTATAGGGGAAGGGGCTATGATTGTTTTGATCAAGAATGATATCATTCACAGACTGAGCAAATTTTATGTTAAAGACACGCATACTGTTTTTTCTTAACATGGGTTTTAACAGCCCTAGCTTTCTGGCTATGTAGATGGGGAGTTTACTCAAGTCCTGAACAAGTAACCTCTTCCATGCTCAGTTTATACAAATTCAAAATTCACAAAATCTCGACATGCTTGTTCATCACTGTAAATTATAATTCTCTTCTTTGTTCTTTCAGTTCCGTGTGGAACTGCGCGAGGAGCTGAGCCAGCAGGTTGCAATGAAGGTTACTGAGATATTAAAAGATGTAAAGAATATATCTTCAACTTATGCTGATGAACACAGTGCAGAGTCACTAAATAGTAAGTAAAATGTTTATTTTGCTGTATTGTACTGTATATACTAAAGTATGCTTATTATTTGTCTACATATGAGTCCTAAACAAGTTAAGAGTATAGATTGTTTGGTCTCAGACACCTTAAAATGCACTGATTTCATGGAAATGTGGGATCATCAAAACAGAAGGAGTTTTAGTTTTTCTCTTATAAAATGTCACTGAATTGACTTGGCAGTATATAATTTGCATTGCTGTAATTCTTGTAAGATGATGATTACTTTGAGTATAAACATCACATAGTTTGCACTAGACATAAACTTTTTAGTAATTTACTTATTACAGGTTTACCCTTAAGACAATTATTTCTTTTATTTTTTTCACAATATATATCTAGGATGGTGTGTGCATGTAAATGAGTAAAAATAAATAAAGAAAGTTACATATATCTTCCCCAAAAATATGAGTTAAAAAATGTACTACACTAGACTAAAATTTCTATCTCTTGTCCAAACTACAGTGGTCCCTCGGTTAACGAGCACAATCCGTTCCAGAAGGTTGCTCGTTAACCGAAACCATTGTTTCAATGGGTTTTAGGGTAATTGGTTCCAGCTCACCGAAAATTGCCTAAATTCAACAAAAAAGGTAGAAAAGTACACTTACTTTGAGGTGTGTATGTAGAAGGCTCCTGGATGATGATGGTGATGATGATGGGAATTAGAATGGTGGTGGAGGAGAAGAGAAGGCATTGGGGTGGAAGAGAAGTCACCCCATGGTGCCATTTCACCCATAAAATTTTAGTTCCCTTGGTGTAATTCAAGATTATGTTCTTTAAATCAACACTGCACTGCATTATATATTGTCAATATGTAAAATAAATTTCAAAATGACCAATAATTTGCTTGGAAACACAGAAAAAAGGCATTTAGTTGAAGAGAGTTTCAAGCAAGATGTTACCTCCACTGAAAAGACACAAAGACTGACGCCTGTATGGTGTGTTGGCAGGCTGGATGGCACGCATAAAACTAGTTTCATTACCTTCAATTATGTTCAATAATTTTTAAAATTACAAAAAAAATTAATATTAAACTTTTAAAATTATTGAATAGTATAAACTTCTTGATATTTACTAAAATGGTATGGAATTTAAGCCCTAGAACCGATTACTGTACTGGCGGACTAATACTACAGCTGGTGGACCGCCAAATGCAAGCGAAAACATGTTCAGGCCGGCTCGTAAGAAACTCGTTAATCGAGGGATTGCTCGTTAACCGAAGTTAAGAATCTTATGGAAGGTAACTCGTTAACCGAAATCTCGTTAACCGAGGCGCTCGTTAACCGAGGGACCACTGTATGTGCTGTTTGTACTCAAAGTAATCACTATCTTACAAGGATTTCAGCAATGCAATTTATATTCTGCTAAGTCTAGTCAGCTACATTTTATAAGATAAAACTTCAAGCGCGATTTACCGTATACGCGGTGCCTCGCCAGAGCCGAACTTTCACTTAACGCGGGTTTTTTCCACGTATACGCGGCGAGTGTCCGGCTCGAGACGCTATTTTTAGATTCGCCCCACCCGCCTGCTCCTGCCTCCTCCCTCCTCCCTCCGCTTGGGCAAGCCGCGCTGTAAGGTTGCGCAGTGCATGTCTCTGTTGCGTTATCGCTGACGTCATATGCCGTATCGGACTGTGATTGGCCATGCATCCCTACCCCCCTCTGCTGCTAGCTGTAATTGGCTTAAAGTATTATGACGTGTCCACCCGGGGGAGGGAGGGAGGGAGGAAAGACGACGCTTCACCTAGCCGCGGCAGTTTCATCCCTCCAGGCCACACCGTGTATACGTGAATCCATTGTTCTGTGAAATGGCTTCCGCCGGACCACCACCGCCACCAGAGAGACCTTTCCTTACCTGGACCCAGCCGCCCTAAGCCCAAGAAGACACGCCGTGGTCTAAGCTACGAAGTGAAATACCAGATCATTCAAGATTTGGAGAAAGGAACACGGCAAGTTGATCTCGCGCGCCAGCATGGCGTCAACTAATCTTCGATTCGCACTATCAAGAAGGATACAGCCAAGATCAAAGAGCACATGAAAATCACAAAGTCTGCAGGTGCTTCAACGACCAAGCATTGCCAGAACAGGGTGCTGGCAAAAGTGGAAAATTTGCTGGTGAGTTATTTGATTCGTCAGGCACGACGCAACATGGCGGTGGACACGCGCTCAGTGCAGGAGTACGCTCGTGAGCTATACGCAGCAGTGTCACGTAAGCTGGGAATTGCAGAGCCCAAACCCTTCAATGCTTCCTCTGGTTGGCTGCATAGGTTTAAGAAGAGGAACAAGATCACCAACATCAACATTGGTGGTGAGGAAGCGAGTGCTGACCGTGTGGCGGCTAGAGATTTTCCTCCGTTCTTACGTGAGATTATGGAGGAAGGACAGTACACCGACGACCAGGTGTTTAACATGGACGAATCTGGTCTTTTCTGGAAAAAGCTACCTTCCAAGACCTTCGTTGTAAAGAATGCCAGCAAGATTCGGGGCCGGAAGATGTAGAAGGAACGCATCACCGTCCTGTTTACCACCAATGCCTCCGGTACCTGTAAACCAAAGTTATCGGTGATTCACACAGCCCGCAAGCCGCACGCCTACAAGAATATGGACATGAACAAGCTTAATGTCCACTGGCTAACCGCACGTAAGGCGTGGATGTCCTCTTCTCTGTCCCTCTTCTGGTTTGACAACTGTTTTGTTCCTGACGTGAAGAAATTCTGCGAGCAACAGAATGTTCCATTCAACATTTTGTTGCTCCTTGACAACGCACCTGGACACTCGCCCCTACTTATGGATCGTCACCCCAACGTAAAAGTGGTCTTCCTTCCTCCCAACACTACGTCATTAATCCAGCCCATGGACCAGGAGTTGATTTGCAATGTGAAAGCTGCGTACTCTACAAAGAAGTTCAAGCTCCTGAACGACTCTACCAACACCAAGGATGAGTTGCGTAAGCTGGGTGACACCGACAGCGAGAGTAAAAGCGATGAGGACAAGGAACAAGAGGTGGCGACTCAAGAAGTTCTCGTCAAACAATTTTGGAAGAAGTTTAACGTCAAACATGCTGTAGACTTCTTGGTGGAGGCATGGGAACAGCTGTCTATTGCTATGATTCGTCACGCATGGAGACATGTGTTTCATGGCATGCCAGCTGAGAAGAGGAGTGAACCTGTGACTGGTGAGGTTCAGACTGTTGCAGTAGCAGTGGACCTTGCCAGAGAAGCTGCGCTCAATATTACAGCTGAAGGCTTCTCCGAGACCACCAACGAAGACATCCTGGAGGTGATCAGAGATCCTGAAGTGACTGCCGACGAGATGTTGGAAGAAGATCACGTCAGTGAAGAGGAGGAAGAAGGTGCGTCATTCTCCGAAGAACACAGTTTAAGTCATAGTGATATTAAGGGTGCCATGGAGTGTGCAGAGAAAATGAAGTCCTTCCTTTCCCGCGACAATGACCGCTATGAAGTCTTCCATACCCGGCTGGTGCAGGCTATGGAGCCGTACATCAAGGTGTATCAAGACAACATAAACACCAGCCGTCAAAAAAGCATAACCGAGTTCTTCGCCCGCAACCCACCACAGCCAGCCCAAGCCAGTGATAGTGACAGAGGTAGAGACAGTGAAGATGACTTTGAGGGATTTGTCAGGGAGGCCATGACAAGTGTGGGTGACACTGATGGTAACTCACCTGAGGTCCAGTAGCCTGCCCTCTGCCTCGGAACCAGCCTCCATCCCCGTACGCCGACCCATCTCTTCCACTAACGTAAGTGTTCAACATAACTTTTAGTTTTCCTAACTTAACCTGTATTTTTCCTAACCTAACCTCTTCTATATTACTTGTTTTTTCATACCATCATAAAGTTAAGATAAAATTTTTACTACAACATAGTTATGTGTCGTCAAAAAGTGGAGTTTGGGGGTCGGGCCAGTTTCTATTGGAATTAATCCCATGTTCTGTTGTTCACTTAGCGCGGTTTTCACTTAACACGGTACCCTGTGGGTTTTATTGACCGCTTTAAGCGGGGTACTACTGTGTGTATATATATATATATATATATATATATATATATATATATATATATATATATATATATATATATATATATATATATATATATATATATATATATATATATATATATATTATATATATATATATATATATATATATATATTATATATATATATATATATATATGTATATATGTATATGTATATGTATATATATATATATATATATATATATATATATATATATATATATATATATATATACATACAGTATTATTCATTTAATGCGGTTTCACTTAACGCTTTTATCATATACTGTGCCTCGCCAGAACTGAACTTTCACTTAACACGGATTTTTTCCACATATACGCGTGAGGTCCTGCTCAGACGCTTATTTCTAGATTTGCCCCCAATTCGCCACCCCTGCCTGGACTGCCTGTTTTAGCTCATAAAATTCATACAAATTACCCGGCCAGAATATAATTTACATTGCTGGAATTCTTATAATTTGGTGATCATTTTGAATATAAACATCATATATTTTGCATTAGACATACAAATTTTAGATAAAAATTTTTTCTGAGTAACTATGTTATCTTTTGTGCAAAATATATGACATTTATATTCAAAATATTCCTGGTCTTACAAGGAATCCAGCAATGTCAATTATATTATCCTAACTTTAGTTTGAGGTATTATTTATTACAAAAAAGTTAAGTATTCTGGTTTTCCCACACATCTCCTTGGCACGGTTGGTGGGGGGTGGGGGGGAAGGAGGGACCAACCGACCATCTGTTACCCCGTGAAGAATATTTTTTTTTTTTTATTAACTGAAGATATTTGTTTTAGCTCATAAAATTCATACAAATTACCCGGTCAGAATATAATTTACATTGCTGGAATTCTTATAATTTGATGATCATTTTGAATATAAACATCATATATTTTGCATTAGACATACAAAT